GGGGGGTAGGTGAGTGTATAATAGGACTTTTGTGTTGTAACACCATTGCCACTGTACCTGAATAGAGTGTCCTTTAACCCTGTCCATACGTCATGTTTTTCTATACGACGTGGGGATCTCTGTGCCACCACTTTCCAAAGAGAAAATTTACTCGTTAATCCGATCCGTACGCTTTGCATAGCAGACTGTCAAAATGATTTTTTGAGAAATACTGAACGTTTCAAAGAGGTCTTCGTCTAGAAGTATTCTAACATGTAAATAAAATACAACCCCGGGGGTACAAAATGACCCCAAGGCTTACGGATAGGGTTAATAAAGCTGATTATTCAACAAGACAACTCACATCATAGAGCCTCTTGACGGTGTGCCCACACGGCCGCTCCACGCGCTGCAAAACGCCACAATCAACATAGCCCGGGGACAGGAGGACCAGGACGATCGCAGCCACCACCAGGGCACAACAACACCATCCGTGCGCCATTCTCGCGACTGGGACAAGATGGCTGCTCCGTTAAACGAGACCACCACCACGGTGGTGTGATCTCCGCTGTCACCACTGAGGACCAGACGTGTGATCTCCAAAAGCTGACATCTGGCTACTTTGAACTCAAAGCCCCCAATGAAGTCATTGTGTGTTATTATTCCAAGCTCATCTGTGGAAAAACAACAATTCCTTTATTAACACTTTGCAGTCACACAGCCAGCAGTAGGCAAAAAAAACACCCTAATCTGGTCACCCAGCCAGGAGAGCGACTGCAACACATTTCTTGGGCCTGACGCAGAACTGCGCCAGTTGACCGATAAATTTTCACCGGCGCATTATTGCGCCACGTGACTGCAAAGTGTTAATATCTTACTTTAAACATGAGAAAATAACTACAGGTTTCTGAAGAGTTGACACAAAAAGCAACATGATAAAAGTCTCGTAAAGCTGCTCCTTAGTCCAGAGGTTGTTTTTCCAAAGTTTTTGTCTCTCACACTAAAGTGCTTGGTTCACTGTCATTTCCAAGATTAGGTGCCTACAAATGACTATCTCAACTATCTGCTCTAACGGTCACTGTGTAAGTAATTCTGTAATGATCTGCTCTCAAACTGGCAGGCCATGTTTGTTCTGCTCATTACTACAGCACTTTACTTCTTTCTGAAGTGTTGCGGTCGCTCAATAAAAATTGTGTACAAATCGTGTTGTTATTCAGTTGACTTTGACTCTAATCTTGTACTTCCTGGATTCTAGATCTCTGTAAAATCTCAAAAAAGTAGAATTGTGTTAGCTAGTTTATAGTTTACAGGCTTTTAGAGGGTCAGAGCACCTTACTTACAATGATTCTGTGAGCGACAAGAACCTAAGTCTAGCACAGTAACTCTATATCTAGATTCTAGATCAGCGATCTAGAATGCTTTAAATAAAAAAGTTATAATTTTAAAAACTAGAACGGAGCGTCTACGTACATTGTAACCACGCACCTAGCCTCAGTGTCTACGTACATGGTAACCAGCAACACCAAACACCAGGCACGTAGTCTCAGTGTCACATGCACGGTAAGAGCCAACGCTGGCAAGTCTCACCCGGGGTGAGAGGTCGATTTTGTATTTTTATTCTTACCCCGGGGTGAGGATAGCCACTTCCTTCTTTTTTTTCAGCAAGTGACAGCATAGGACAAATATTGATTTATTTTCATTCTGATTACCGTAGTGTACGTAGATACTGAGACTAGGTGCCCGGTCACCTTCGTAGATACTGAGACTAGGTGCCCGGTTACCGTGTGTACGTAGACACCGGACTAGGAGCACGGTTACCGTGTACGTAGACACTCCGAAACTAGAATCTAATCTAGATTTTAGACGAGATCTAGATCTAGATGTCTAGATCTAGATTCTCTAGTTCTAGGCCAGGCCTTAGCCTTAAAATTCGAAAGGACTTCCGTAATGAGTGACCACCCAACAAACACAATTAAACCCTACCCTTATAATTCCTAACCCAACTCTCTATTTCTACTAGACTCTAGATCTAGATCTAGATCTAGTCTAGTATTCTACTCACCAGTCACTAGATTTCAAGATCTAGAGACCTAGATCTAGATCTAGATCTAGATCTATGTCATTACCTTATCTAGATTCTAGATTTACTCTGTCGTTACGGAATTCCTCCCAAAAATTCTTTGAATTTTTCTGTATGGCCAGAGCAGTGGGCTCAGTAGAGTCAAAGCCTTAGAACTCACCACTTTATTTAGACTGTCTGTTTACTAGATATCTAGATCTAGATTCTAGTTGTCTGGTAGTTCGACGCCTTCTCTCATTCCACACCGGACCGCCCACCTGATTCATGCACACTGACTGCTACTGCTAGCGTTGGTGGGGTCCTTGATCAAGTTCAAGACATTACTCAATTATGATTTACCTTCCATTTAACACGTTGATCTATTCCTCTAAAGAAATAAAAACCATAATGACAAAACAGTGTCCTTATATGTTTTCGAAAACACCGCTTACAATACCAAGAGTTAGATCTGCACTTCTATTCTCCACGCATGAATCATTTCATTAGGCTATGAGACATTGCATTTTATAAACCAAAACAAAAGTTGATCCGCAATGATACGACTTCCTCTTCCGGAATCCAGATTTTTTTTCCCTTTTTTTTTTTTTAAACATTAATTGAATGACGTTCTTGGAATCACTTGCGACGTGCTTGAAAGCCCAGATAATCTACACAATATTATGACAACATACTGATAATTAGACTGCACGTGTTATTATTTTTACTTTCCATTCATGAATGCTGAGAGTTTTAATCAGACGTAGGCTGCAACAGTTTTGTACATTCATGGTCTCTTTAAAGGACAGTTAAGGTTACCTATGCGTGACAACAGGAATTAATTTTATAATAGGCCTATATTGTGTTGTTATTGTTTTTTTTTTTTTAAATTAATAAATGACAAAAATTAATCAATTTTCGTTGAGTAAACTGTTAGGCTAAAGCAGGCTACATTTCAAAAACGGACAAAAAGAAAAATGGTAAATAGCTAAATTATTAGTAGGCCTGCCGGTAACCCGTTATATTGTAAACTACAAAGTGGATTACCGGTACCTACAAATAACAATACCCCTTTAAAGCCAATATAGGCGAACAATACACGTCACCACAATACAATGCAACTGCTAAAATAAGATCAAATTAAATAATACCTTTTCCAAAGGGGGGATATTAACATGTTCTTAATGAACAGTAGAATTGTAAATAGGCTGATATATCAATGCCGTGCTCATAACTGTGTCGGAACAACATTATTGGGAACAGCTGTTTTTTCTTTCCTCATCCTTACTATCGTAATTTTTCCTTTTCTTTTGTATGGTTGTCCCTTTCTTGTGAACTGCTATTATACGGGGTGCCTTGATAGTCGAAACAGACTTTGTGCTGTGGAGGCTAGAGAGGTGAGAAGAGTAAACCTGATTCCCCGTTTGGACTTCTCTGTTGACACCCACCCCTTGGCGCTCATATGACCTTATGCAGTTGCGAGCGCCGTGAAACCTTACTAAAACAAAAAGCATACACTTTCTCTACTCCAGTTTTCTGCACCTGCTGATCCCTGCCCCCAAACCCCACAAAGGCATGCACACGCAAAAACACAAACACAATACGCACTCTCTTAAATTAATTCTACTCTCTCTCTGTCTCTGTCTCTGTCTCTGTCTCTGTCTCTGTCTCTGTCTCTGTCTCTTTCTCTCTCTCTCTCTCTCTCTCTCTCTCTCT